AATGAACGATTTATATCCGAATCAAACATCATAAGAAATGAATTCTTTGATTGACCAACAAGTTTATTCAATACATTTGACCAAAGAATTATTCTTAATGATGTAAAAACTTTTTCAATTGGTTTTTCACCTAACCAAATTACAAATAAATAAGTCATCTAGAAAAAACAAAACTAAATATTATCTAAACAAACATAGGAATTTACATAAATAAAGGGTTAAAAATACTACAAATGAGATATTTAAATTTCAATGGGCATATCACCAAGTTCTTCATCACTCGGTAAATACGGCGCAATTTTAGCTGGATCAACATACCAACAATTAACACCTGGTAGACCAAGACTTTCACGTAATGCTAAACGAAGATAAGCTTCACGTTGACAATAATGAGTTAATCTAAATATTATTTTTTAAAGATTAATTTCTGATAAAAAAATCTTACAATCGATCAGGAAAATATCGCCAACTAAACCAAAATAGAAAAAGACCAATAGAAACAAGAGAAAACATTCGTTGTTTCATTTTAGCTTCATCACGAAATTTATCATTGTAATCATAACCATACCATATATGCTAAAAAAAAATATATCTTAGCTCTTCATTTTAGATCTTAAAATTCTTACATTAATTTGTTTTCTTTCCCATTGTGGTTTAATAAATTCTCCTTCTTCTATTTCACGTTGAGTTGGCCATAAAACTTCAATTCTTTGCCTTTGACTTCATCCGGTGCACCAAAACGTTTCTCATTTCGTTTTATTGGTGTTGATATCGATTGTTTATCAAGTGGTTTTGACGTACCCCAATCTAGATTTTTCGAAAGAAGTGCGAATGAAAATAAACAAAAGGTTTATTTAACAAACCATCCGGTACAGCTTGTGGTGTTTCCGAACGTGAACGACCGGCAATCATATGACGTACAGATGGCTGTACAGTTAACGATTGCCATCGAGTTAATAACTGACAACCTGTTTTAATCATCTTAAACAGAGAAGATTCTCAACCTTTTCAATTGGATTCATATAGGAACTTGGCGTAATTTTTTTTTTATCATTGTATTAATCATAATTTTAAAAAGACAAGAAG